AGTACGGAGACAGCCCTCGTAAAAGTTATGAATGACATTCTGATAGCGACAGACCATGGTAAATATGGAGTTCTGGTCTTGTTGGACATGACCGCTGCATTTGACACAGCACTGTGTGGGAATTTCTGGTTGGGCACTTTTGTGGTTAAAGTCCTATCTCTTAAAGAGGACCTTTTGTGTTAAGTTGGGGTCGGCTTTATCCCCTGTGGCCCCTCTGCTTTGGGGTGTGCCACAGGGATCTATTCTTGGGCCATTATTGTTTTCACTGTACCTTTTGCCTCTTGGTGCGATTTGAAATGACAATCAATCTAATTGACACAGTTGCATGTTATGGACTTGGCCTCAAGGATTCTTAGTTTAGGTTTAAAAGCACTTAATGAAATTAATTCTGTCATTTTTCAGTCGTTCTGCAGTTTTTTCCAAGTCAAGGGTGCTAAATGGACAAAAGCGCTTTTACCAAATTCAGTTCGGGCAAATGGAACAGGAACCAACAAGTAACCTTGCAGACAAAGACAATAACAACCAGCATGTTTCATTGCAAGCAGGGAACATATATAGGAAGGCAGCAATCCAAGTATTGCCTTATATATAAAACGGTATACATGAGAGTTCCTCTGACTTGCCAAAGCAGGCCATCCTACCAGGCTATAGTCTGACTTCATTATGTGAAACTTAATTGAGCAACAAGGACAAGCATGACTGTTCCCCTTTAAGATTTCCAACAAACAGTGAGAGGAGCTGCATGGATGAATGTTTTGCACTGACTGCCATTCATTGGTTACTTGAAAGTTGCTTTCTACATCAATGCACAGTGTGAAAAAATCATTTTATAACCTGCTGCTGTAATGTACAAACAAAGTCATAATACAATAACCTGAAAGTTATAATATATTCACCTATATGTTTTCACTGCAAACAATGGCAGCAAGCATCGTTTTAAATAGCTTTATGTTGCATTATTATCACTTTGACCTTCAGCTCAATCTGCTGACCTAGAAGTAGAAGTCAAATTGTGACGTGATATTTTAAATCCTTAAACAGTAACTTTTTATATGCTGATTATAAACACTACACTTTTAGGTATCACAATTTCTAAGTTTTAAGGTTTTGTGTCAGTTTTCAATGAATAAATCGTTAAGGTGACCTTGAAGAAAGATCTTGGTGGATGTAAACCAGGATTTAATGGATTCATAACATTACTTCACTCATGGATACAAAATTTTAGAATCAGAATGACGTTTATTGTCAAGTTTGTGCACAAATTAGAAATTTATCTTGGTGACAGGAATAGAATATGGACTATATGGTATTTACAGTCTATAAAAAATATACATCATTATCTAAATATTAATATAAATACACATTCTGAAATAAATACCAGCTACCTAAGAACATGATGTGCAAAGTGTGCAAAGTTATTGTAGCCTGAGCAAGTAAATGTGTTGTTGTAACACATTAACTGAGGGGTAAGCACCACCTGTTTGTGACATTAAATCTCGGTTTGTAAAGTAACTGAACTTTTCAAAGGTAATAATAAATGTAATGAGAATTTAATAAAAAGTATTTCACTCTGAAGATTCAAGGTGTTCTTTTTGAGTGACCAGGGTGGACAGACAGACAGCTCAGGTTGAACTGTAGTGATAAAGTTAGAGAAGCAGTGCTGAGATGGTCTGGGGATGTAAATGGACAAAGATGTTGAAGATGGAGCTGCCAGGCAGGAGGAAAAGAGGAAGTCCACAGAAGGGATTTGCGGGTGTAGGAGGACATGCAGAGGATGGTGTGACACAGGAGGAAGGGCAGAAGAGGAGAGGGAGGCTGACGATCCACTGTGACGACACCTAAAGGGAGCAGCAAGAAGAAAAAAACTATTTACGCAGTGTGGTCAGTAGATGGCGCCAAAGTAACGTGGTCGCTTTTAACTTGTAAAGGGAACATAAATGAGGATGTAAGCCCGGGACTTCCCGCAGTGGTTAACGTTAAGAGTCGCCTTTATTTGCATTCAGCACCGGATTTCATACATATTTGTTCAGCTTAAAAACAGTTGCATTTAAGTCGATGCTCACCGGGAATTAATCTCTGGTGGAGCCAACTGATTACAGCTGCTGCTTATACCAGCTTTAGCTGAACTCTCACTCTCTCTCACTCAGGAACAACCACATTTGGTGATACTGGCTTATTCCCTTACTTCACCTTAATGAGCATGCACACAAAAAAACCCAACATAATTTTGGAGAGAATCATTTACTGCGCTTCCTGTCATCCTCCACTAGATGGCAGCAGACACAAACACCTGCAGCACCAAGACACAGCCCATCCAAAACCTCACAACTTTCCGCCGAGCATCACAATTATGCTGTCATTTGGAAACATTTGTAATATCCTTGACGATTTGAGGACAAACCGCATCCAAACACATGGTTCAATCGGGGAATATAATAAAATAAAGCAACAAAAAATACATCAGTGTTTCATTTTAGCTGGTGTGGAAATTATAAATGCAGTATTTTGAGGATGTGGAACAAATGCTTAACTAATCATTTGTTCACATATTTGAAAGGTTAATAACGGGTCTATTTCTTAAACTTTGAAACAAAATATAAAAAAGTATGTTTGTTTTTAATCCAAGCGGTTTTTATTATACATCTTTATGAACTTTCAAAATACAACTCTATATATAGCAATTCTGTGTGAAAAAGAAAAATCAATCAAGCGTAGTGTTTGAATGAATGCCCAGACTGTTGGTTTTATAGCAAACACAGATGAAGCCAGTGACGTTTAAGAGTGAGGACGTGGAGAAAGTGAAGCAGGATTTTTATTTTTATTTTTTAAAGAAATAAATGTAAGATTTTCTGCTTTTGCTTCTCGCGAGGCTTTCTCGTTTCACCGAACCTCGCAGATAGGAAAGAAACAATGTGCTGCTTAAAACAACGGAGAAACCTGCTTTAGTCCAGGTGCAGTCCACACACACACACTTTTACATCAGCTCATCAGGGCTGACTGTGTGTGTGTGTGTGCGTGTGTGTACCAGTGAGGCTCCTGGAGTATATAGGCTACTCAATAAAACCGGGGCTGCGATCCGTCAGTGCATTTATCATCCTATTACGGCGACAAATCCGGCTCCCAATACATGAAAGGTAAAATGAATTACCAACGTTAAGCCGTCAATAAAGTCATTTCTGTAAATGGTGTCTCCGAGGGCCCCCGCTATTATTCAACAAGCTTTATCAGCACCTTGGAAATTACGTGGCTTGTAGCGCGGGCCCTGCTTCACTTTGATTAAGGGCCCTGCCAGGGAGCGCTGACAGCGGCTTTGACTCGGGGTTTTCTCCGGCCCCCCGCTCCCGGTGATGAACACCGGGCACATCGGGCGGAATGAAGACTAATTAAAAGCTATAAATTATCTTTTGCAGCTCCTCTCGAGCAGCCCCTCTCTTTGCGGCGCCAGATAAGAGCAGGACTGAGTGCTCATTTAGCCACAATGGCGCTGCGGCTAAACGCCATATTGATACTGTCCTAATTGGAATTTAATTAAGTAGCCATGGTGTCCCCCACACCCTCCTCCACACCCCCTCCTTCATCCTTAACTCCGACCCCCGTGCGGATGAAGATTTCACCGCGGCCGTGTTAACCATCAACACGTCCCCCACTTTCACGCTGTTGCCATTATCATTATTAATATTATTATTAATTCAAATCGCCAATTAGAGCTTGGAGGCAATTTCTGAAGATCTTCACAAAAAAGGAAAAAAAAAAAAAAACAGCAGCCACCTATTATCGGGACACACTCCTGTTTTCCAGCCTCCCCTATACCCTTTCACGAGTGGCCTCCTGTGAACTGAAATATCACAGGGAAACGCAAACATGTTGGTTTTTCGTGTCGCCGTGGAAAAAAAACACAAAAAATCATACTTTAAGTCAAAGTCTTAGCTACTTAGAGGAAGGAAGGAAACTATACAGTTCTCTTTCTTTATGTGGACACACACTGTACAGACTACTACTGTTCAACTTTGATTTTTGTGCTTTTTTAAATAACTACTGGGTCACTTTTTCGGAATTTTGGGTTTGTTCATGTCAAATTCGTGGTTCTGTAATAGCTCATTAAAATATTAAAGGGACGTAAATTGTGATTAGGGTAAAGTAACGCTGTACAGATGCTGTTGGTGGTTTTAACAATCCAAGCTTTGACGTGTTCTCATTTACAGCATCCTCGTTGTATTTCACTGTTAGAGAAAAGAAAAAAATAAATGAGAAGGAAAGAACAAGGGTAAATCATCTGATGAGATTGTAGAAACGAATGCTGTGATCCACAATGTGCATTTTATGCACTTTACGGAGGAGCTGTTTAGCGCACAAAATGTTTTTGTTTATATTTTATCTAATATTATGAAGACACATAAAAATATTTTTTTAAATATACATATACTTAAAACACTCCACTTAAAATGAAATATGTTTTACATAGCTGATGTCAGTTCACGTGATATAATGTAATTTACACTTGGACGGTTAACAGTATTTACGCTGCAAAATTCACCAAATAGAAGGTCTTACATTTTAGCTAAAACATTAATGCTAGTAGTCCTATTTTTCTAAAATTATTCTTGTTATTTGTTTATTTTTATTATTCCTTCATCATTTTTATAAAGTGCGTTTGAATTCAAATAGTTTGTAAAACTAAAATGTGCTTAAAGAGCATGTAGCGATGTGGAATAAAATCCTTTCGCCCTTCTGAGCAGTGTTTTTAATGGTGGCTGTCTCCGCGCTTGTTTTTGTTTTGCTGTGTATTACGTCTGTGCACGTGCGCTTCTCCCGAATCGATCCAACTAATAAGCGCGTGCTGCGTGCGCGTGCTCGCCCGCAGCACAGCCACAGCTCTAATTGGACAGCGTCAATTGTGACAGGGACGATCTTCCGTCCTGATTGGCCGGTTGCTTTATGTGTACGCGCACACGTGCTTCCGGCTGGGTGTAAGAGAAAGGGAGAAAACACACACACACACGGGGGGGAGATAACGGTTTTAGGAGAGTTTGGGAAGAGCGAATACACAGATATTATGCTGCACCGAGGAGCGGCAGGGACACTGGCTGTAACGTGAAGCTGTTCGCTATGCCAGGTCTCGGAACACTGTTAGGAGAGGACATGCTTTAGGTGATATTGTTAACGAACGCAGGTGTTTATTCTAGTTTAAAAAGGCTTTTTTACATGCTGTCTGTCTGAATTGGATACCGAAGGGGACGGGAGAGTGAGCAACAAGTGGAGTTTGGCGTGGAGAGGCCGACGTTTTTCACGGTCACCAGCTATGGAAGAGCAGAAGGAGCCCAACAGCGGCCGGGACACAACCGAGGAGGAGAGCATGTCCCTGTCGCCGAACCTGCCATCCCCTGCTATGATTTTACCCCACCAGGCAGCCCAGCAAGCCCACAGAACCACGAACTTTTTCATAGACAACATCCTCCGACCGGACTTCGGCTGCAGAAAAGAGCCGAACTACCGCGACCGGAGCCAGACGTCGGGTCGGGAAAACGTGAACCCGCTGGGCGCGAGGCCGCTACACACCGGCAGCCTGTGCCTGGACTCCAACTGCAGCAGCGACAGCAGCTCGTCGTCGCCTTCCTCGTCGTCGTCCACGTCCTCTTCCCCCTCTTCCAAGCAGAACTCGTCGAAGCAGTGCGAATCGACGAGCAACGGGACTGGTAGATACGCAGACAGCCCCTCGTCAATTATGGTTATGAGCGGCAGCAATGGAGGCTCTCCGCCCATGGCAAAAGAAAGCCAGCCGATGTTGTGGCCCGCTTGGGTGTACTGTACGCGGTACTCGGACCGGCCCTCATCTGGTAAGGCGCTAGTAGTCCCCGAATGATATCGAGTGGGGTGCTGGAGTGGGATGACTTGTGTTTCTCTCCGCTGTGTCAAATACATTTCTTCCAGGTGCCAGCGTGAAGAAAAAGAGGGAATTTAAAATTGGCACGTGAGTGTTTAAATAGTTTACCGAGGTGCTCCAGCCAATCAAAACAAAGGGATTTGATTTCGAAAATAAGAACTGTCGGGGGGTAAAGTGCTGAAAAGAAGTCGCTGAAGTAAAAGTGGTTAGCAGTTTATAATGGAGAGTGTAACGGAAGCACAAGGTGACAAAAGTCAAAGTGAAGAATTAAGTAAATTAATTCAGAGTGAAGTTGAAGCACATTGGGGCTAAAGCTGATGTGGGCCCCAGGCAGTGTCACGAGCAGATTTATTTTTTATGTATTTTTTAAAAAAAAACTTTTTAAAAACTCTAAATAAGGCAAACTACATAAAAATATATGGAACGTATTTGGTTTTTCTGTTAATATTAATGTTTCCTCCCTTGTGCGGAAAAGACCAAAGTAATGTAAAACAAGCCAACAACAGTGCCGAGGATTCACACCTTATTAAACCCAATTACAAGTCCACACGGTTATTAAAAAAATCAAATGTATTGTTGTCTGGTCTTTCACGAGCTAACGTGTTTTTGCCGGTTATTTTAGATTCATTTATTTAGTCTGACAGAACTAAAGCTGGAACGTTTTTCTCTGTTTTTGCTCCCGAATTTTAGCCTAAAAATAATAATACTTAAAAAAGAGGCATGGATCTGTTTTCTAATCTCCACCACTGCTGCTTTTATTTTTCTGAAAGCAATTCTTTTCTTTTCACTTTTATCCGCTTTCTCCCCTCTGAGCTGATGCAGAAGATGCATCGATTTAGAGATGAGTTTGAAGGTTCGAGTGTTTGCATATGTCATGCAATGACTTTTTAGGCCCGTTTAATGTTTAGCAGTTTAAACATACAGGATGCTGATGTATCTTTGAAACAGTGTGTGTGTGTGTGTGTGTGTGTGTGTGTGTGTGTGTGTGTGTGTGTGTGTGTGCGCGCGCGCGCCTCATAGCTTCTAGGCCGGCCTATGTGATGGTGCGGAAGGTTTTATTGGCTTTAATGGTGGTGGTTATGTGTCAGGGTAAAGGAAGAAGTCCTTCTGCGACTTATTGTTATTATTTTTTTTATGAAATCTAATATTAGACCCGAAGCTCCCCAGCCTGCCCTGTTTCACAGCGACAGCGCTTCCTTTGTCCCACTGGATTAAATGTGCGCAGTACACAGTTAATCAGCGGATCAATGCGCACTCATATATTCAGCTACGTGACCAAATTCCCGTGCTTTTTTTTTTTTCTTTTTTGCTGCTTCAGCTTTATTCGATCGGGTCCTTGAAGTGAAAATACCGCGCTGCTGCAGTCATAACTGATCAAGCAGCCCCGGATGAGGTCCCATTAGCTGTGCTGCAGCTTGTGGAGCTGTGGAGTGTGCAGGGAGGATATCTATCTCTGCACCTCCAGTGTAACACTTCCACGTGTGAGCGATAGGACAAGGCTCATAAGGCTTTAACAAGTCTCATCATTTGCACTGGAGCTTTTTTTCTTGTTGTTGTTGTTGTTGTTTGGGTTGCTGCTGCTCTCTTCTGATTGGCTACTTTGTCTCCCACGTCCCACACTCACCTGTGAGGCAGACCTTCAGCATGTCAAATAGTAATGAATCGTGAGATTCTCCCACAATCCCCCTCCACTTCCTCCACCAAAGGCTTATATTTGTTTGCTCTGATTTAAAACAAGTTGTGTTTGCACAGCGTCCAGCTTTAACAGTTCCGCTCATTCTCTGTGCTGTTTTTTTTTTTACTGTGACATCAAAACATTATTTTGATAGAAGTCATCCCCAGCACAGGCTAACCTGCCCACATCATTCCCGCACAGACTTGTGACCTACATTCGGGCATACCGAGCAGATAATAAGGCGCTATCATCGCTCACAGAGAGACGCTTTCACGTTTTTCTTTCCTTTAAAATAGAAGAGAAAAAAAGTGGTGCTCGGTGTCAGACTGTGTCCAGCCTTAGAATAAATCTTTGTTTCCCATTGTTGTTTCCACACCAGGCCCAAGGACACGGAAACTGAAGAAGAAAAAGAGCGGCAAGGAGGACAAGCGGCCCAGGACGGCGTTCACGGCCGAGCAGCTGCAGAGACTCAAAACCGAGTTCCAGGCCAACCGCTACATAACGGAGCAGCGGAGACAGTCTCTGGCCCAGGAACTCAACCTGAACGAGTCCCAAATTAAAATCTGGTTCCAGAATAAGAGGGCCAAGATTAAAAAGGCCAGCGGTTACAAGAACGGCCTGGCCCTGCAGCTCATGGCTCAAGGACTTTACAACCATTCAACGACCACCGTGCAGGAGGAGAAGGAGGAGAGCGAATGAGCGGCCGGACTCTTTTGGACATAACGAACTGGGAGAAGAAGGAGAAGTGGGGGACGCTATTTAAAAACACAGATTTCTGTTTATGGTAACAGTATATGGACATAGTTATATAAATGAACGCTCGTTATTAAAGTTTATATAGCCACACAGTTATCATGTTGTATACGGTATATTTAATTTCAGGCTCGTCTCTTCACGCCGGTCCTTTTTTCTCTCCTCTCTGTCTGTTCTCACTGTTTTTTAGGATCTATAGGTTCTTGTGGTCTCCTTGCCCCCACCCCCCTTTTCCCCATATTTGCGCCATATTTTCCCTTCAACACATCAGTCAAGCCAAACAAGCCAAAGATTTTAATATGTTCACATGTAGTCTGAAATTAAAAAAAGAGGGAGATAGAGAGAGAGAGAGCAGTAGTTAATGGGTTAAATTATTATTTCTTACATACATTTCCACGGATAAAAAAAGAGAAAGAAATAAAAGCGTTTTGTTGCCATATTTGAGAATAAAACATATTTAAATCTATGATAAGCTGTCAGCATGTCACAATGATTCCTTACAATATGGTGAATTTACGGGAATTCTGGGTAATATTATTATTATTAATATTATTTCACTTGAACTACATTGCCTGGACTCCCCAACATATTAACGCCCACACGGACATATAATCGTGGCACATAACGTGTTTAAAGGAGGAAAGTGTAATTACCGGCCTTTTTAAATTCCGTCTGTCTATAAAACAGCGGATTATGTGAAGTCTTTATCGGAGCTTTCATATCAAACTGAGACACACACAGAAATATATCGCACAGCAGGTCCTGTTTCAGCGCCTCCTTGATGGATACCATTTCACCTATTAAAACTATTCTGGGCATTTATAGGTTTTCACGCCTCTGCTCAACTTTCTCCAGACACGCTGGAGCGTGAACGCGCACGCTGGAGTTAATACTAAAACGTGAACTCGCGGTTTGGGGAGAAGCGCTCTGTCTCTCCGTCCTGCGCGGCCTGACTTGACCTCAGGTTCAGGTTAGACTGAGCCTGGCTGTGAACTCTGTGGCATGGCGTGTGTGTGTGTGTGTGTCGCACTCCAAGGTCAGCAGCAGAAAAACTTATAGAAATCCATTTAATTTCACCCAAATCAAAAGGAGAAACTGTGACTCTTGAAGTATTAGTATCAGACTAGTCTACGCTGAACAGTCTGCCTTCTTTTTTTGCCACCTTGAATTTTTCCTCCAATTATTAAGAAAACGTGAATATTTTTTTTATTTGTGCTCACTTTCAGTTATATCACTTCACGGTAATTCTAACTGTAATATTTGGAGTTTATGTCAGCGATAGAGTCCAGTGAGAATCCTCACAGCATCCCCTCGTTGCTAAAAACAGGCACCTGAGCCTTTTAGTATCCCCGCCGATTTATCTCGACCTGGATTATATCACACATTTAACACACTTGATTGTGGCGCATATAAACAAAGAAGAGGAAAGCTCTCCTCTTTGACTATTGTTTTTGTTTTTTTGTTTTGTTTTTTTTTGGGGGGGGGGGATTGAAATAAAGAAAAAAGACTGGCATCCGGAGGACGTTTGTGAGCTCGATGAGCGCTGCTTCTGTTTGTTCCGGCGCTTACAAGAGATTATTTAATTAAGCGCTAACGAGCCTGCAGAGGCGTTCACGGCCTTCGCGTTTCAGGAGCTTTAATTATTTCAAGTGCGTTTGCGTTCGGCTCTGCCTATAGAGCACAGATTTAATAACCGCGCAGCATCACGTGTTAATAATGGATTTCAATAACGACGATCGTGAACTTTAAAGGCAGGTTACAGATTTTAATGAACGATTTTACCTTAAAAAATCTTTATTTGTTTGCCTTTTATCCCTCAAAGCGACCAGCAGACATAACTGCGCATGTCGAGAAAAAAAACGAATTCGATTATAAAGAGAAAGGTTTAAATTACAAAAAGTGACCGTAGAAGTTGCAAAATACATTATATATACACACCTTTTTATAGTTAAGGGTTCCTGTTTTTCATGGTGAATGTGAGGTAGCAGCAGAATGATAATAACTGGCCCTGCAGCATCTCCTGCAGCCTGCGAAATCCTCCAGGGGTCCTTGAAGGGGCTTCCAGAGGCCCCACACTAATATAAGGACTAATTTAACGTCACTAACCGCTATAATGTGTGACTGAATATTCATAGGACTTAATTTCAGTTGGATTTTTTTCTCTCTGTTAAAAAAAATGTGCTACTTTTTGTTTGTTTTGCTGATGCCGCTCAAAAGCAGCAGATGCGATGAAATGTGCGCTGTTTCTCATCGATTAAATATACTTTAATATAATTTCGATGTATTCGGGAATAAAACAAGAGTTGGCGGATATGTTTAAGGAAAAATACACAGACACACACACACACAAGGACAGTGTGTTTCCAAATCCTGCGTCTTTGGCCATCTGGCCCGCATGTGTGAGCAGAGGTGCAAAGGCTGCCTGCCTCTTCACGGTCAGCCAACCCTGTAGGTCTAATATTATAGTGATAGTTCCAGTCCCTGCTGTGAATGCGGAAGAGGATCTTATGACAGTGTATTTAAAATTCATACAATTATGAAACAGCGAGAGGATTCCTCTAACCCCCTCCTCCATCCCTCCCTCCCACCTTGTCATTGAGGAAGCCGAGGGTTTATCTGTAAAACAAAGAAAAGCCCGGGATCGTTTGCATAGTTAGCATAGTCTGCCTCGCAGGCACAATATGGATTTAATTTATATGCAAATGAAAGCAATAAAAAGAGAATACACACTGGAAATCTGGGCCGTTTAAAAAAAGAGGGGGAAGAGTTGGATTCCGAGCAGGTACAGCACGCATGCACAAAATGAAGCATTATCATCAGGCTCACCCCGAGAACAGCCGTGTTATATAATATCCAGAAAGTGCAACACAGCAGCATTAGCACCGCTGTTCGAAAACACACACAAAGCAGTGCGAAGAATTAAATAAGATTTCCATTATGAGGAAAGTTTCTTTCACGAGGCTCCAAATGTAGCAGCAAACAAGATCAAAGAGCGTGGACACACACACACACACACACACACACACACACACACACACACACACACACACACACACACACACACACACACACACACACTGCACTCAAGTATCATTCCTTGAGGAAATTCAGCTTCTTTGCATCGCCTCCGAGTGTTATCGGTGATCAGTGTATGGTGACCTTTTAGTCCCAAACTGTTTGTCAGCAGCTTTGACATCTCTTCTAAAAAAGGGTGTGTGTGTTTTCTGCTACAGGACAAAAATCACACATTGTATTAGCAACAAGAGATCTTCATTCTTTCTAAAGCTATTCATCTTAATAGACAGTTTTAACTTTCAGTATTGTGGAAGCAAATTCAGGATAAGACCTCTCGGGTATCTTTATAAAGCTTGAAAACATGCAAACCAAAAATAATGCCATTAATCAAATTTAATTAAGGCAGTGGACTGTGTGCTTACTTTTTTGGATGAATATTTTTAATTTGTTTCATTTTATGTTTTTTTTAACAAATGCATTGTGATGGGTAACGAGTCTTTAACCATGACTGTAACATATTCAGGAAAAAAAGGAAATTACACACATATGATAATATCATTACTTACAATGTTACTTTATTTACTAACTCAATAACAATATTTCATTTTAAACATAACAGTTATTATCCTTACTACAAAATGTAAATGTTCTTTTGATAAGAAATCAGTGATAATTAAAACAAAATGTTGCCAATATGCATAAAAATATAATATAACACAACATATATTTGAAAAAGCAAACCAAGTTTATCACAGTATTGTATTTTTACTTCACGCTTATTGTTCTTAAAAAAGAAAAATGATTAAAAATATCTAGAAAATCTGAAAAAAAAAAACAAAGTAGCAATAATGCCATCGATCTTTTTTTGTTGTTGCTAACTTTACAGATGAATTTGAAAGTTATAAATAACTTTATAACCCCTACAAAAAATTTCAGACATCATCAGTGCATTATCATGATTTCACAATAACTCTGACCAGCTATAAAAGCCTCTTGTCTATGAAGCAATCAGTGATAATGAAAAAATAATAATCTATATAAATATATATCTTCTCATAATTTCTAATAATGTAATAATTAAGTCAATTTGGTAAAAAGTAAAACAAGCTTTCTTTAGTTTTTATATTCATTCGCATAAACGTGATTATATTTGCTGTAGTTTTCACCTCTTGTACTACAGTTAACACAGATACAATCATGTTAAATGTATCGATGATTACGCTACACTCGAAAAACCATCTACATCATGTAGAGGTGAACCAACATTTAGAAACATTTTTCCTCTTGTAACACTTTGAACAGTGACAGCACACAAAGTGGGGTTCCTATTAGAAACATGCAGGCTAACCACCTGCCATTCAAACAAAAGGGGAGGTGACCTCAGTAGTTCATTCAATTTAAGTGTTCAAAGTGTTGTTTAATCAGCGTGCTACAAGCTGCTGGAAAATACACATCGACGCAGAAATAGGAGAGCTTTTAGAGGCGCACACAATAAAAGGCACCCATGCAGAGACATACAAGCATCCGTGCAAAAAGGCAGGAAAAGAAATTCTAGGCTCTCTCTCTCTCTGACACACACACACGCACGCACGCACGCACACACGCACACACACACACACACAGAGAGAGAGAGAGAGAGAGAGAGAGCGCCATTTAAAAGAGCTTCTTAGATCACTACCCTGTGACTGTGGTGCTGCTAAGTAGAGAAGTTTAGTAATTCCTTCCCAGCTGCCTCTGTAAAGAGAAAAGAGAGCTGGAGACAATGAGAGAGTTCCTTTTCATGTCTCTCCTCTTTCAACTTTTTACCTAAATTTCTGCAGATGTCCAGCTGGTCCCACATCAGATTGCTCTTTCTATACTTCATGCAGACCACCAAAATTTGTCACATGGCATTGAGAAGAACTATTCTTATTTACTTTTCTTCTTGGACTGACATGGAGAAAATGGAGAGCGTAACATTCTGCAGCTCATCCAGCTGTATGAGGCAACACTGTATTCATTTGTTTCGGTGCTCTGTCAGGAGATGTCTCTGGCACCCGGTGTGTTTGAGTGTACACTGTAGAAACGCAGGGTGCATGGAGAAAATATGTGCGGAGCCGTTACAAATGTGTAAAAAACATGCTTTTGCCTACTAAAGGGATTAAACAAAATAATATGAAAATCATATGCAGGAAAAAATGCAGGAAAACAATGCTGACATACAAAGACGCAGCTCCTGTGCAGCAAACATTATTTGTTTGGGTGACTGAAAAAAATTATAATAGAGAGAAAGAGAAAAACTTACAGCATGGATGCACAATATCAGAAAAAAAGCACTCTGGACTTGGACTTGTTGACGATTTACATTTACTATTGGTAGCAGTAGCAGCCAATTTTTATTTGAGTCAATGAACTTAGTACATACTAAAGTACTGGTACTTAGTACATAATTGTCTAAACTTAGTCTAATGA